TCTTCCTGTATAAAAAGTAAATTGTTTCATGAACTTAGTGGGGCTGGACCTCTGTAAGAGAAGTCACAAACAACTCTCTATTCATTCTATGAATTCTAGTATCACCATACTACTAGGACCTTATTACAAGCCCCAAAAACTGAGGTATCTAAGAAAGTTTTAGGTTTACATATGTGTGCTGGATCAGCTGGGGAGGCTGACTAGCACTTTCTGATAATGAACAGTGATATGAAAAATGCTGCAGGCGAGACAGGAAGACTTGATTAGGGGATACAGAGAAAAATAAATCATATTCAGTAGCCTGTAAAGATGTCTGCCAACAGGAAGGAAGAAGCAGATAAAGCAGACAGCAGCAAAGAGATAGCATGAACAAAGAGAAACTGAAAATGAAAAAACCCAAAAGAAATAAGATAATACAACAGTAAAAGAATTAATTAACTCAGGAAAGAAGGCTAAAACCTTATCATCCAAGTCATACAACCAAAACACTACAACAAATATATCAGATTAATCTCAGAGAAAATTCACTTTGGAAGCATGAATTCAAGAGTATTCTTTCAGGAGCAGGGCTCTTGAAAGAAGGCAGTCTAATGATGGGAGGAAAACTTTGGGAACATAAAGCAGAGCACTGCAAAGAGCAGCCTGAGGAAGCCAGACCAGAAGACCAGTGTGCCTAGCAGGAGCTGCTGACTCCCAGCAGCTGCACAGCTTTGTGCTGGAGAGGACTCCTGGCAACACACTTGTGACTACACCATTAAATGTGTGTGAGCAGCTGAAATCAATCACACTTTCAGGTGACCAGGAGTAAAACACTGTTGCATTTTGCTACAGGTCAATATTGCAGACTCACTGAAGAGAGACCCTGTAGTCCAACACCCTTACTAAAGCAGGTTCACCTAGAACAGGTTGCACAGGATTGCAGGTTTTGAATGTCTCCAGAGAAGACTTCATAACTTCTCTGGATAGCCTGTTCCAGTGCTCTGTCATCCTCAAAGAAAAGAATTTTTGCTTGAAATTCAATGGAAATTCCTGTACTTCAGTTTGTGCCCTTTGATCCTTGCCCTGTTTCTAGGCACAGCTGAACAGTCTGGCCCCAGCCTCTCAACACACAGCCTTAAAATAATACAGTGCAGAGATATGATTCAGTGACCAAATAAGTTGGTTTTGCAAATAAATTCTTTCTTCATTCCTATAGTTTTAAGTCATTGTTTAATTTACCTTTCTACAATATCAATGGATATTTTTTCACTTTGTTACTGTTTAATGGCTCAAAAGCAAAAAGCAACCTACCATGTGGTGGTAGAGAAATACAAATACTATACCCACAGATACAAAAATATAAGAAAATATAGTGGTGTTTTCAGACATGGTTTTGCATAAAAACACTCTATGGTCCAGCTGAACAGCAAAACTCCATCTGCTTCAAAGACAGCCAGCATTTCACCTCATGAATCCAGCAGCTGGATTCTGTTCCTTTGTACATATATAGAAATAAACTTCTGTCTATATGATACTCAGGGAAAAAGAATGCACTCTGAATACTTGTGTTCAAATATTTTGCATGTCTATTCACATCATAAAGTGTTCATGCAGTCAGCCTAAACATTAGTGGCTATAGCAAGAAAGCAGATGGACCTGTTGTATGAGACTTAGGTACCAAAGCACAAATTATGAAAATCTTGAACAAAAGTGCATTTGAATAAACTATACACAGAATAATTTAAATAATTAGCAACTTATTATTTGCTTTCGTAAGCTTAACAAAGTTCTAAGCAATCAAGAAAAAAGGTAAACATAATCACCTCAAACTTTTTCTACTACAGTTTTTATGATATCACTTTTATTAAACCTCAAACTTCATCATGTCCACAAACAAGAAAATAACCAAGACTACATGTACCAGTGCAACAAAATCATGTGAGATGAGGCAAACAGCAAGGGAAAAGAGAACAGATGTTTGCTGCTGTATTCTCAACCAGCCTTGGCCTTGTGAGAGTGACAAAATTCTCAAACAATCAGGTTTGGTGAGGTGAAGTTCATATAGGAAACAGCTGTGTGACCTACTGTACTGACATGTATAACCCAAATTTATTTTAGAATTCTTAGCATTTAATAGATAGCAACAGGATATGTCACAGTGACTACACGTGTTAATTTAAGTGCCTTGCAGACAGGATGAGAAAACTTGTGACCAGCAGTGCAGCAAATGTAAAACACCAAAGCAAGCAATGCAAAAGGCCCTGCTTTCAGCAGACAAGAGCCAAATTTAACCAGATGATGAATTCATGTTCCATTGTCTTTTGCAGATAGAGATCCATATTTTTCCCTTAAAAATCAGTGCTGCCTTATATGCAATGATATATGCTTATAACATAAGCATACAAGAAATATGTTAGTCAGATTTTACTCTCAGTTGGAAACTCAAACTAGGTATTCACTACATTTTAATTGAAAAAACTTTTAACTAACCATTTTTATAGTTACAGAGTCCCAGTGTACAGGGCTGCATACCACAGTTACATGGAGATATCACATGGATTAATGTGTTTGCTAACAAAAGGTCTATTGAAACCAGAACTCACAAATGGTCAAGCTTTGGGATGACACAACCTGTAGTGTAGAACTTGCATCTGCCCAGCAAAACCGAAGAGACATTAACTCTAACAGCACCATCAGATCTGTGCTTAGAACTACTCTTTAAATAACCTACACATACTTCTGAGGCTACCCAGGTGGCATGGATCTCCATCACTGATGAAGAAAACAACATTAATGCTTTTTTCAAGGCTGATCCTTAGAAGCTTACTAATAAGAAAAGCATTAAAATAATGTCATATTCATAAATACCCATCCACCTTACAGTCCAAACCTCTTTGGCAGAAAGGTTTCATGAAACTTGCTTAAAAGGTGAATAAAAGAGCATCTTTCAAAAAATGTGCCAGGAAGAAAATTGAGTAAAGGGCTGCCACTAAGCTTTACTGGGAATGTCAGACTTATAAGGGGGTAACACAGAAAGGTTTCAGAAATTAGTAACTTTTTGAATGTTCAGCACTTCTATAAATCCAGGTGGTTGGGGGAAGTTTTCAGATCATCATGTGCACGGCCTGGTCTTACACTTTATGGATCATCTTTTAAAACTGCTCAGCAGCCTCCACTGAGAACATATATAGAGAAAGATGTCATGGTTGGTAGGTTGATTTTGGGAAGTTGGTTTGCTTTTTGTTCTTTAGAAAAACAGTCTCTGAGATGACAGGTATTGTCAAATCAATGACATGGCAAATTGGTATCACAGTCTGTGTCCATCCAGGCTGTTATTTTACTCACTAGAAGTTCAGCAGAGTTCAGGGCCAGATGCCTTGGAAGGCTATGACTCCCAGTTGGTCTCCCACTAATTACTAATAGCTCTCAAGTGGTTTAAATACTGAAGGCAAGATACTTGATATCTTTCTCCACACTTTTATAAGTAAACAAGAAACACTTCTCAGCAGCCAATGTAACCTTTTGCTTTTTTTTTTTTTTTTTTAATGGAAAATAGTATTTGCTAGTCTAATTTACTTTTCATGGACTATCCATTAAGGAACACCATAAAAAACAAAGAAATAATATTTTCTACAAAAAGTAAGTAAACAAGCAGAAATTGCATCGTGTTGAAAAATTATTATCTTTAAACTTATGTTATCTTCATACTCTTCACATACATCTTCACATTATAGAAATGGGCTGTTCATCACTTGTGGTTATCAAGAGATGAACAGTTTGCTCCGGTTTTTTACATTTCTGTATGGGATATCTGATACCACCAATGCATCATCTCTGGGAGACAGGGAGATGTGACAGAGAAAACTCCAAGGAAAAAGTTAAGTGGCAAGACCAAATTCTCATGTGTAAATATGTGGCAAGGTTTAAAAAGGAAACCAAATGTTCAGAATCCCAACCCTATGCTTTAACCACAAACCCAACTTTCTTCACTAAAATTGAATTAACCCAGTAACTAAAAACAAAGAATAAACAAGTACATAGATGTGCATCTTGCCACTGTAACATCTCTAATGACATTTAAGTGTTCTCAAACTAAGATACAATTAAAAATACATGTTTAATTCCAGGGTGGTAATCAGTTCCACAAACCAAGAGTAATAGAAAAGCAGGAGGAAGTAGCCTCACAGCTTGCTGAAGCTGTGTAAACCACACATGCAGGCATAATGTACTGACTGAAAGATCTACAGAAATATATGCTGCTGACAAGAAGGGACTCAGTACTCATGTACAAAGCATGAAAAATGTTTTCAACTACAACAGAAAGCCTAGTTGAAAACCAAGTAGAAGTGCTTTTAAAAGTTAATTAGGACGCAGAAATAATCCCCTTACAGAAGAAAAAAACCCATAAGCAGTCTAAAAAATACTGTGGCATCCTACTTCAGATAATCAATTTTTTTTAAAATCACAATGAATTTCGGCTAGATAGGGGCTAGGAAGAAGCTATTTTGCAGAGGAGAAAAGCACAAGTACTTTTCACTGAGAAGCTGTTTTTCTGGTTCAGCAATTCTGCAGCAAGAATAGCCAGATTATTTGAAAATTGAAAAGAAAATCAATTGCATGTTTTTATTTTAAAAGAGCCTCCCTGTGGGAATAGGTGTGGGCGTGAGATCTCTTTTTAAATTTCATAATATAACATAAAGCTGCCAAGAATTTTTTTTTTTTAAATATTCTGTTTACTGGGTGCCAGAATGATTTTTCTCTCCTTATGACTCTACTGATCCTTATCAAAATTCATCTGTGAAGTAACACTAACATTTAAAAACAGAGTATTTATTCAGATAGCAGCACTGAGCAAAACAAATTTTCAATGCTGCTATGGGATTTCAGTGGTGACAGCAAAAGTCTATTTACTCATTTACCCCCAAGTTCTGCATGCAGAAAGTTTGTATCAAAGTTTTTTTTTCAAAGCAAATCAATGCTTTTTTTAGAATTAAGTTCCACAGGTAAAGTTTACAACTAACCTTGCTATCTTCAATCTCCTGGGTTTTTCCTTGAAGCGTTTTCCTCTCTCCAAAATCACAGGTTGACTTTAATGTAAGCTGACAAGAAAGCATCGAGCTCTCTGCCCCAGTAAGCTCCAAGGACTTTGGTGAGTACTTCTGTGAGCTGGTGGAGCCAAGGCTGGGTATTGGGAGGGCAGTGTGGACAGGCTTTGACCCTACAGCAGGCTGCCTCAGCTTGGAGGCAACCCCAAGCACAGGCATGGCTTCTATAAAAGTTATCTTCTTTCTGCCAAATAAAATGCTCCTGACCTCAGTCTGGTAGACTCCAGCTTCAGCAATTTCAGAGCAAATGCTTTAAACAAAAGTAGCAGTCATCTTTTCAAAAAGTCTTAAAACAAAAATATTACGAGTTCCACAAGGAAGCAAAATTTTTCCTTCATCTCTCCCCTTCTCCCTCACAGCCACTCACACACACTGCTCAGTGAGTCAGTGGCTCTGTAAGACTAAACGCTCCTTTGGGGCGTGAACTTTTCTTGAAGGTAACTGCTACAGAGCTGCCTGTCTGGGATTAAAGAACTCATAAATTCACTTTCTCTTCTTCCTGCAGCATTCCAGGTCTGTGCATTAAGTGAATGAAGGATGGGAGAAAAAGAGAGAGAGAAGAGAGGAAACCTCCCCGTACTCCAACTGTCAACACAGCTCCGAGACCACAACACTGGAAGCAGAGACCTCTTCCTGACTACATAAATAACCAGCCCACATCTTAAAAAAAAAACAAACCTCTTTTTTTTTTTTTTTTTTCCTGCTTAAGAAAAAAAAAGGACCTGAGTAGTGGCCAAAACAAACAGCTGTTGGACGAGTTTTCATCCCGGAAATAATCTCAGCAATGAAGCTGTTTGTCTGATTCCTGGCTATTTTTCACTGCTGACAACCATGAGCTACGGTGTTTCATTCTCTGTTCCTCCCATGAAATCAGGTTAAAATCGTGCAAGAGCATGGCTAGAAACCGACACTGAATCACACTCTGGGGTGGGTAACGTCTGTCTGTGCTATGAAAAATCCATACAAAAACAGAGCAGGATATAGAAGAACTGCAAGCATTGTTAGAAGATTTAGTCAAGACAGCTTTCAGAGCTATTTTTTATTTTTTTTTTCTTTCTTGGTGGTGGTATTAACGTCATCTATTCAGTGTTAACACTTCCCTTTCTAAAAACATTGAAAGCTCCATGAAGCCCATGTCCAACACATCATTTCTGCTTGTTGCTCACTGAAATATTCTTTCTGGCAACCTCAAATCCTTGCACATAGAAATACAAGTCAGGCAGGCAGAGCAGGCTCCAAAATGAGTCATGATGGACAGTCCAAATTGTTGAGCCGCATAAACACTTACTTAAAAGAACAACTGTAAATTCCTTTGAGATCCTGTAGCAGGGGAAACCCTTTTAAACTGACATGAGGAAACAACCTGTGCAGAAACATCACACCATTCAACTCCTAGGGGATTTTATCACCCAGCATTATAGACTTGGGGTTTTTTGTTATGTCTTCCAAAATAAAACACAAGATTACTTGACTTATTCTGCCACAATATACTACATGGTATTAACTATACCTTCCTTGAACAGTATGTGCTATTACCACCACAGATAAAAGCACAAGAAATAATAAGAGCCCTCTGGACTTTTATGTTCTCAAAGCAAGGATGGCAAAAGTTAAAAAAAGCACTGAAAAGAAAGTAAATGAGAAGCACACTAAAAAGATCTTAACTCATGCTTTTAAATTATTTTGCATTATAAACGTGGGATATGTCTTGTCCTCTATCATTAATTTACAAAGATCACACTGACAAAGTAAAGAAATTCAGCTCTCTGTATTGACTTACAAACTACCCCGCTCTTGTTTGTGGTTTGTAGGAGTTTAACTTGTAGTAATCTCCTGAGTTTTAAATTGAGAATACAGAGAATCAGCAAAAACATTTCAGAATCCTCTGCTTATCTGCCATTTGATTTTGCCACCATTAACAACAGATGCAATGGGTTTTGAGCAAGAATGCAGAGATAGCTTCTCTGCATTTTGGACAAGTTCAGCCAACAGGATACATCAATTTGCTCCAATGATTCGAATATTCTTGTTCAGTGTGGTATTTCAGATCTTCCGCGGAACAAAGGGGTAGAAACCTCCTTGTGCAGTCTGCATTTGTTTTCCACCATTAAAAAACATTGAGGCTGTGTAAGGAATTTAGATTTCTTAGGCACAACTGTTAACAGTTAACACTTCAGAAAACGCACATATGCAAAGACTGAAGTGGACCACAGGAAAAGAGGGATTTATCTCTTGCAAGGTTTAAGAAGATGAAAAATCCTTATGAGAATTGTTAGTCAATGATCAAGACAAAGAATAAACTACAGCCATGAGACAGAAACTTTCTTAAAAAGAACTTTGCCAAAAAAATGTAATTGACTCTTATTACTTCCCGGGGTTATAATTTTACAAAATAATGCACTTTGGTAATCTTGCTGATCTTCTTTTGAATATGAATGATGAGGTCATGATACCCACAGTCTCTTTTGCAACCCATTTTCCCAGCCCAGAAACCCTGAAAGTAATAAGTAAGCAAACTTACTAGGAGTCATCTGTAATACCGGATTTGGAAACAATGATGTGAGGCTGGTGTTACTGCTACTCTTTTCAAATATTTTTTTTATTATATGTTGACTTTAAAGCTAGTACCAGGTCAGGGCCATCAACTTCAGAACCCAAACTACCTAGAATATGTACAACAAGAAATCACAGATGTGCTTCCAGTCTACTGAAGATGCAAAAAAGAGTATGCAAGATTCTTTGCAGGAATCATGAAGAATAATGGAGGAAAACAATTATATTCTGTAAGAATTATATTCTGTAAGTAAGAATGCAGCTACAAGCCTAGTCTTCCTTTTCTTATCTTCTCTAATTCTAAGCAAAATATAAATAAACAAACATCTGCTGCTCTTTGAAATCACTCAGCTAGAATTTTTGCTTGAAAGCCCTTGTACCTCCTGGTGAATGTGGGTTTTATGAAGCCTGTCTTGGGGGAAAGATATTTAAAAACTAAGCTTCAGTACTGTTTTCCACACAAACAGGAAAGTACAGGATAAAGCACCTGTGGACAACATACACAAACTATCACCAGATGCAGGTGCTGGTGGGATGACACTGCAGGCAAAAGGTGTCCAAAGATTCTCTAAGGGAAGGAATTGTGGGGAAAGGGCAAAGTTAGAAGCTGCAAAGAAGGGCACATTGTCAGGCATCAAGCTGACCATGTGAATTTGGTAGCATTTTCTTCAGGATCTCTGTAATGGAAAGCTATGTGACTGTCAAGCAGGGCAGACAGGGAGAACCCTAAGTTAAAATGAGGATGATTTAGATACGTGTGAATAATGTCCAAACAGAAAAAAGGCGTATCTGTGAGAAACAGGGGTGGAGAAGGCTATAACCTGGAGTTACATGAAATCAATCACAACACTGGCATGAGGGACAAAAGTATTACAGTCAGGATAGAGAAAGCAGTGAGTAAAAAGGTATGACTAACAGAGTAAGGGACACACATATTGACTTGGTTGCATTAAACTGATACATCTAGAAAGGGACTGCAGAGAAACATGTCAGGCTAACATTGTTCAGAGATGAACTGTAGGTTTATAATTTATCCTCTTAGTCTTTAGAGTAGACATCCTCCAGCCAGGCAGGTAGGGGACATCATCTGGATTCAGAAGGATGAACACAGATCACGACTGAAGTCCTGACACAAGGGAAATGATGTGCAGGAAAGGTTGGAGACTTATGAGGAAGCCAGAAGAAAACTAAGGTGTGGGAAAAAATAGAGGGTAGCATTTCAATTGGGACACTAGGTAAGAAGATAAAAGTGTAAAGAGGAACCAAAAAATGGGGAAACAGAGCAAAGGTCAAAACAATCTTTAGTAGTTTTATCATCAGTAGTGGCAGTCCCAGTGATATGTTGAAAGCAGGGCCACTGTTTTAGCTGATAAAATAGTGACAATCTAGCTGTAAAGCATGACTGAAAGTGTCACACAATCAAAATTTTTACAGAAATTATAGATTATATTAATGATCTGTACCTCAAAGTAAGACAGCATGTATGCATTCAGTATAATAGTCCTCACACCTTGAAAAAAATTTAGTATTTATTTCAAATAACAGGAGCAAACACACCTGAAGTCTAAACCGCTTCATGAAAGAAGGTATCAGGCACTTGTAATGTTATGGTGAATTTTTGTTCTCAGGACTGAACAGAAATAACTGTTCACAGCACAACACCCCAGCATGTATTTCCTTTCCTTTATTGAGTCTGATACCAATAGAAATCCCATGAAGGTTGCTCCCCTTCTGCACCTCCAGCCCTCAGACAAACTGTTCACATGAACTGCACAGACAGCTGGCAGTGTGTCCCAGAGCACAGGAAATATCAAGAGAGGGGACACCTGCCTCAAAAGTGGAGCCAAGATATTTGTTTGCTCCTTCTGCTCTATGATCTTCAACAAGGAAGCTGTTGCATGTGTAGAGGGTCAAACAGGAAATGTCAGGGGTCCAGAGACTGCAGAGCTCTGTTCTGAGCTATTTCCCCACTTCATCCCACTGGTATAGCAGCTGTGTATAGAGTTTACATGAGCCGATAGAATCACAAGATTTTGTGCTCACTGATTTCAGGTTGAGCAGAAAGTTTTCCCCAGCCGGGGTTGGACAACTCCTGAAAAAGCAACCAATGGTTCTAAAATATGGAAGGTACCTGAATCAAGATGATTTATTTATTTACTCCATATAAGACAGGTTTAAACTTTAAAAATGCAAGTAAGATGCACACCACATGTCTGTTTGGTATAACAAAATACGTTCAACCTGTTAGATACTGATGAGACAAATCCTTCAGCTCCAACTCATGTTCACAGCATAATTCTATGGACATTATTTTTGTTATTACAAAAATCAGGTGAAACCATTAGTCTCAAGGCAAGACATTTAGCAAGTATTTAAACCTATCTGCAAGTATGTACTGCTACTGAGTAAGCTGCTGTTGTTTTTCTTAATAGCTTTGTATTCCAAAAGATATATAATCCAAAGCCCAGTTACAGTCACAGAAAAAGGTGCATCCGGCTTCCTAAAGGAAATCCTTCAGCTTTGGCTAAATGTTTGGGGAAGTTTTTCAAAGAGGACAATTTTTAAATAAGGATATAGTTTTATTGTCTGAACTATTTGGCCTTTCAAAACTCAGACAGAAGTTTAAAAGGAGTTTGAAAGCATTAACTGATAAAGTGACCAATTTTTCTATAATTCATTCATGCTGTACATTTGCAGCATCTTCCATCAGATATTTTCAAGCTTTTATGTGCAACTTAGTACCATACTACCCTGTGAAGTATGTAAAGTATATTAAAATATTGTCAAGTGGAACCATGAGGCTAAATGATCTTCCCAGGTCCAAATGGGGCTTCAGTACTTTCTTTCTTAAGTAGTGGGGTTTTTTTTTAATTCTATACCTGTGTGGGTTAAAAATTACAATTTTTTCTCTTTGTTGTCCACTCTATTTAATCATTAAGTATTTGGCTTAATGGATTTGAGCTTAAATACTATAGGATTGGAAAACATAAACTAAAATTTTAGAAGGATAAGAAAGAACTGATGGCAACTGAACACACTATGTAAGTATTTACATACTGATCTACTGGCTAGACCACACAGCCAGCTGGTAAAGCTTAATGAAAGGATCAGCTTTTCTCTTTGGGAGGTGGAAGAGGAAAAGGGAAAGAAAAGGATATTCTGTTTGTTCATTTCTAAATAAATTACCCAAACAACAAACGCTGAAGACTCTCAAAGTTGATGTTAACTGCAGCTAACAAGGAAATATGCCCACAATAAGCATAAACTGGTCAGAAATCTAACAGTCATCCTAAGGATTGAAGTCACAGCTTTTCTATCTTTTTTCCTTGTCTCCTTGCTTTCTCATTTACAAAGACTCTCCAGGACACAGTCATTGCAGGCACACTGGATTCTCCAGCATCCTCCTGGACACTGATACATATCTTCCCCTTTTTCCATTTCTGCTTTCAGCCCAATTTGTCTTTTTTCCTCTGAAAGGATTTCTGGCTCTGTATCACTTTTGGTGGGCCCTGGTGAATTCTGATTTCTACCGTATCAGGGTAATTAAGAGCTTCAGCTCTTTGTAGAACTGCTGGAGACAATGTCTAAGATAGACACAAGAAAACCAGACATTTATAGAATGTGTCATTAAGCTCTTAAGTGATAACATTACTTTCAGTGGAAGTGGTGAGGAACAGAATTCCTAGCCTGTTTTTAATAATGATATTGATGGAAGAAGTTTTGTTCAGTTTGAAATTTTGATCAAAGTTTAAATTGTTTGGTGTTCCCCTCAAAATATGGTCCTCATGAATTCTCTGCAATCACTACTGCCTTCAATACAAATTACCCTGGAAAAAAATTTTCCCAATGTACATACACCCCAAAAATTTTGATGGAATATTTCAGTTGATGCTAGGAGACACTTATAAGCCCTAATTAGATGAGAAGGAAATTGGCGTTATTTGCAGTTAATCAAAGCTGTTCTGACTCTCGATACTAACTGTGAACTGTTCAGAACTTTCATCCAAAATTTCTTCAGAGAAATTGACTTGCTTTACTTACTATGAAATTTCCTAACAAACTGTAAAAAATAACTCATAAAAAGAAACTGCGACTAAGCAGGAAGGAATCTGCTGATTATCTGCCATCAGGTGGCTGGCAGAGTGGCAAACCTATGCTTTCATCTGCAGGAAACTTTCCTCTTATGAGCACTGTGGATCCGATAGAGGCTTTCAAAATCACAGTTATGTTGGCATTCACTTTAGCATTGCAGTGAAAAACTCCTCCAAAAGGTTCCCACTGGTCTATTAAAAAAAAAAAAAAGTTACTGTAGAAAAATAGCTTAGAAACATCTGCTACAGTCATGATCAAACTCTTGGCCAAGTGCAGAAACAACAGTAAGAGGCTTTGAAGTCAATCAGCTTTGCTATCACCAGCAGATACCCCTGCAGTCACTGGAAATTACTGCACAGAGAATTTAGGAGATATGAAGAACATTTGCTCTGCCAAAAGTGTATATAGACAACAATGAAGAAAGAACAATTTCTTCAACAATCATGAAAACTGAAGGAGGAGTGAAAGGTTAGCAATAGGTGTTAAAAAAAAAAAAAAAAAGACTACATTAATACTTAAAGAATACTTCATGAAAACAAAGATGGGTATATTTTAGGGGATTAACTTTGATATTTGACCTTAAACAACTGCAAGCTGCACTGCAACTGGAGGAGCACTTCTGACTCATGATGTACTGTCTGCTTCCTTCTTGCTTTGAGACTGTAATCATTCAATGTCAACTTGCAACTCCCACAGTTCATACCTACTGTAGCTGTACCACCTTTACCCATCTGCTACCCCAGAGCTTGATGGAAGTAGTATATATTGCATGATATTTCCTCACTGCATTGCAGTGCAATACCACTGCATGGTATTCCTCACTGCTTATCAGTATAGTGGAATGATCCCAGTAATGTTTTTGGTTTCCTGTTGGCCTTTGCAGATAGTCATCATAACTAATTTTGTTATCAAGTAACCCTTCCTACAATATCCATAATATTTTCATCTTCTTTAACCACATAAATATTTTATATTTATCCTACATTTCCTGTAATTTGCAGTAATTCAGGAGACACTGATACACATTTTAAAGATTTCCTATGGCAAACATAACATCTCAACATAAAGAATTAAAAACGGTCATGTTTTTGGTGAAGCATTACAAGATCACCATTATGTCACCTTCCCTGCCACAATTCCCGTCAGAAAATCTGGCATTTACAGTGATCTCATGCTGGGTGAATGTACTGATGAAGCACTACTCCCCATGGCAGTGCTAGGTTTGGAGCTTGACTATATGATCTTACAAGTCTTTTCTAGCCTAAATAATTGTATGATTCTATAGGCCACACAGTTCCCTTGCACACCATCTCTTGCTAATAGTCAGAGGTACCATCCTGACTGCTGGATATTTTCTGTGATCAGTACTTTCATTTTGGATCTCAGGTTGCTACATGAAGAACAGACATTGTACTTTGAAGTCATTCTAAGGTTTTTGTTTTGTTTTGATAAACAGATATGCTCTTTTAACCATGTGTTTTGTGCCACTTGCCTGCTCTTATTGAGGAGTTATGACAACACTATACAGAATCCACATTTTTCAACAGTGTTTCCTCACCAGAACACTACACACACTGTGGTTTTCCTGCTCTTGTCTTGTGCTTGGCCAGCTTGGAACTCTGGCAGAGATGGATGGTCACTCACCTCTACCTGCAAAATATTAAGCAGACAGGCCTTGTGTGTCAATGGAACTTGATCATGTATAGTTGAGCTGTAAGTGGGTTCTCTTTTATTTCAAATAAAAATAGGCCCAATGCACATACTAAAAATCTCAACCATCTGCCTCTATCTCCTGTTGGCCATATGTGAACATTTCCTACAATGAGCCTTGAAAGCTTGTGCCTTTCTCCATTCTACTGTGATCAGAGCGTGCTCCAGGCCAACTTCTGAAATGTGTTCTGTACGTCACTAGACTAAAACTTCCAGGTTTTGATCAATAAGTGTCAAGGAACTGCTGTTTTTCATTACCAAACATCTCCCATCTATGCTAAACCCCACGCCTTGTGTCATCCCAACAAAAATCTAAGCGAAAATTACAACAGCAGCTTTTCCGGTCAGCAAGTTGCATTTCCTCACCGCTACTCTGTATATAGATGCATTATTTTATCTTTTGTGTGTATTTTTATGTACACATGAGTATGCATGTTTAACATGTCAGACAGACATTAATGCCCTTTGGCCGATTCACCTGGGTTGTTTTATCTTCCACCAAAAAAAAAAAAAAAAAAAAAAAAAAAAAAATAGAAATCATCAAACCCTCAACAGCACACAGCTGTCAAAAATAACTTCAAATCCTGCAGATGTTAGATGCTTCCTTCCTGCTTCTCTGCATACTGGATAGAAATATTGCCTTACAGATGTGGCATGTTATTTAGAAAAAAAAAAAAAAAAAAAAAAAAAGGAAGCTGTGTTTATATACTGGTCTTACCTTCAAGTGTTAGAAAAGTGCTAGATGGAAGACAAATAACACAACTCCTCTCCCAGCTTTCATCCATCAATTGGGCTTTTAGAACTGACATATGTAACAAGCATTTGGCAGCCATAAAAGTAACATCAGCATTCACAAATTAAAAAATAAAACAGAAAGCCAAAATAATTTTTTCCACCTACAATAACCCTAAGATGAGCTACAAAGAAAGCACAGTTTTATCAAAACCAGGATGGAGACTATACTGGTTATTTAGCTGCAGAATCCAGCTAAACAGCACTGTAAGGCACAAATCAGCAAGAACTAAGTTAACAGCCACTAGTGAAAATGTCACTGGTGGCATGTGCACCTTCAATGGTGACAAAGGCAGAAGGTATTTTCTTCAGATAGATATGTCTTTAGAAAGAAAATGTCTTCATTACATGTTCGTGCAGCATCACAGCCAACCACACAGTAACCTTCCTGATAGATCCAGAAAGATTTTCTATTGGTACGAAACTGTGTGATTCCCACTACTTCTCTAGGCCAAGTACAAGACATACAGTACAGTCCCTCTCTCTGTTTAGAAAAGATGTAATTAGATTCCATACATCATTCTTTTCTATTTCTTTATTTTTTTTCTTAAGTTCTCTTTGAAAGTTTTATTTTTCATTCCATTCCCTTCTCTGCACCCAGTGAGGGAATATTCTCCAGAATAAGAACAAGATGTGCAGGCAGTATTTTTATTTTCTTTTCAGAAACCATTGCAGCACAGCATTACAATTTCTGCAGGACAAACCACCTGAGCAACACTAGGATCTGTAACTAGCAGACTCTTCAAAAATCTTCTCCAATAACCTGTCAAAAGATTCTGGTCTTCTCTGAAACCTACTTCAATTTAGGAAATTTTCAAATATCCCATTATTTTGGTTTTAGCTGTATATTTTACTCATCTGAACTATAATCCAGCCACTTTTGCTTACATTGCTCTACTTTTTAGCTTTCTATGGAATTTCTTGACTCTAATATACCTGATCAATTTTATTCTGCCTTACATAATAAAGCTGAAGCAGTCAAATGCTTAATACCATGGGATGTTAATGGAAGGAGCAGGAGTCTATATTTGCTTGAATATATTAGCTAAAGATGATGGAGGAGGAGGGGAAGAATAAAAGAGGGATTCACAACGTGCAGTCTTGCTTTCTGACCTGGAAAAGGTTTCCTTTTGTGATTAGAGTTTGTGTTCCAGGCTAGTTACATTCTGGCCAAATTGATTTTCCCACCCTTACGTAACTGAACTCTGTTCTTCATTATATGGGTGTAAATCTGCAGCAAAAACTTTGAACTTCCAATGAGTAATTTTAGATTTATGCCAGAGTAATTGAGAGCAGAATGTAGCCTCTTGGTTGTTCACAGATATTATACTATTTAAGATTTCTATCCTCCAACACACTTGTGACTATTCAATGTCATCCTAGCCTTCCCTTCTTTCCTTTAAGCTATTCTACAAGTTGACACAATATTTGGAAATTTTAATACAAATCATATTTGGAAATATTTTACTTCCAAATCAAGGGAAAATGTATGTATCAAGAGGAGCTTTTTTTTTCTCAGAGAAAATCTTTAGGAACAATACAGAAACATTCTTCTGTGCTGACACAGGCTGCATGCATGACTGTCCAGCTCTTTTTCAAGTCTGCAGAACTGTTATTATTTATTAATCTCTAGACTACTAATATTAGTCAAATAGCAAGCAGCTCAAAAAGTTCACTAAATCTAGATCTTTAAATTGTTACACAACTATTTTGTAACCACTGAACTCATTAAAAATAAAAAATTATTTCAATGAATTTTACTTTGTATCTGCTGCACAAACTTTATCCCTGGTATAAGTTTAATTAATTACAGTGAGTTTTCCTCCAGCAGGAAAGAATTTATTGTTTATATTACATGCCAACAATTTGCTAGATTTAACAAAATATGAATTCTTCTTATGTATAACTTCTGTTTAATAATTTATCCCAGTAGGGTTTTTTTTTAAAAAAACAATTTTGCTGATAATATCACCCTTTGCTCTTCACAGAAGCCAGCAGGGTCTCAGAGATATTCTTGTGCTTGCTAGTGGCTGCAACCCATGCTGTTTGTTCACATAACACTAAAGTACCTGGAGTTCAGAAATTCTGACATTGCCCAACTGTGACTAGAGAATTGCTTTTCTTTGATCTTTGATTTCAAGAATCCTACACTTTCCCCCTCTTTGTGGAAAGACAGTTGGTTTTAATTTAAAAAAAATAAAAACATTAAACTGGAGAATTTCCCAACAGGAAACAGAGTTAAAGTGAGCCAAACCTTAATGCCATACCTTTTGGATCATGCCCTCAGCAGGGTGTAAATATCCAGTCACTTAAAACTTCAGCTTAGGCCACCTTAAGTTCTCATTAATATCTGGATTTACAGTGTACAAATGAAATCAACATCTTACAAAACAATTATTTCTCAAACATGTATTGAAGCTAGGCTGTTGAAAGGCTAGAACTTTAAAAGTTTATACTTTAAAGGTCTCTGAGTAAGCAATTCTCACTGATTTCAATGAAAGGGAGAGGAAAAATCCATTCGTAATTACAGTGGTCTCAGGGAACCCAAGAACCAAGCCCAATTTCCACAAAAATCTTTCCACAGACAGAAATCTTTCCATAGACTTTGGTGGCCACATGTGCTAAACAGTTCTCACTCAAGGACTCTGAGGCTGGGATTATACTATTCATTTATGTAAATGAGTTCAAAGAAAATGTAGAAATTAGTGGGAATGGTATACACTTTAGGAGCACTATGAGATTTGCTTAAATTGGCAGGCTAAACTATTCGGCATCACTTCTATAAACTGAAACAAATTTGGCTTAAGCAGAAGCTCTTCTGAACTGATTAAAAAACTTATCAAGGCTGCTTTTAAAGATTTATTTATTCAAATTCTCCTACAATACTGGCAGCCAAGTTGAAGTCAAAACTCTACTGCGATTGGAAAAAATCATTTGAATGTCAGCGGGTTATGTAAAACCTGAGACTTTTTGCCCAGAAGTAAATCTGTGAATGTTATATTGAAAATGCTAGTCTGAGAAGTCAGAAAAGGATTTAGAATCTGAAAGCCTCAGATGCTTTTTAAATTATTTTGAATCCATATAAATATGTTGGTTTCCCCTTTCTGGGGATAGGTCACTGAGAGAAGCCATTGCTTTTTTGCCATGATATAAGAATAAAATATCTATTCCCAAATGCCTTCCAAATTCCAAGTCTCATGCCCTGGAGTTTTGACCCTAAAGGCAGAGCTCCCAGAGTCTTTTTGAAGTTGATTAGAAACCTTCTTAGAGCTGTTAACTTTATACAGATGAGACTGGATATAGCAATGGAAAGCAGTATCAAACCTCAGTAGTCTTTTTCTATTTGTTTCAAGATAAGAATCATAACCACAGGACCCCAAAATCTGTACAGAGAACAAAGAAGTCTGTCCTGCCTTAGGGAATATAGTGGGTGAGAGACATCATCCAGATTTTGCTGGTAATACCTCAACATATGCCAGTCTGTTTGAAGAGATCTGAACTGTCAAATCAGGAAACCATCAAAACTATGATACTAAGAAAAATATTGTGAGAGATCATGATCTTACAGTCAGTAGAATTCAGATGGAAGAGTAGATACTCAGAAAAAGTATCTACTTGCAGGAAAAGCAAGATGAGAGCCTATCACCATCCATCATCCATCTATGTCAAAAATATTATGGGAGTCTGGCCACTCATTATTCTTGTATTCATTTCATTCGTATACCTATCTATTGAAAAGGAAAACAGTATTGTTGTATTCTTTTGCTTACAGTAATGGTTGTTTATAAGTCATGACCTGGATTCTACAGTAATTTCATCATTACCCATTCTACTGTCCTTCAGCTGATCAATGTAGGAAAAAATCCACATTATTATGCATAGCCTATGACTGCATTTCAGTTTAAAAATCCTATGATTTAAGCTTCCTTCTAATCCTTCTAGAGCCCTTAATTATATAGATTTCAAAATGTATCCTATAACTATTATGGGTCCAGTTTGAAATTAATACTTGGGTTTTTTTCCACTTTAACAAAATTCCTAACTCACCATATTTTTTTTTACTTTAAAGATTCCATTCTAAATCCAAGTTTTATAAACTCTTAAAGAGGAGAACTGGAGAGTCACCAGACATTTTTTCTGCTTGCAGCTGAACCTGTTTTGAAACAATCTCTAGATCGTTAGATGTACGCATAAATAGCTGTAGTTAATGAGTAATTCTTGAATTTTCTTTCTTACATTAAGTCAAATATGATGAAATATAGATTAAAATATACAAGTTCAATTGTAGTGAAAAAAGCTAAGGCATACTAGAAGCTTTCAGCTGTATACTAGGGTAATGTACTTCCTAAAGGTTCGATCCTGCAGCTGTGGCACATACTCATTTCTCATCACCATCATGAGTTCAATCATCACATGCAGACTATAAAGCCATATCCATTTCAAGTCATTAAGCTGAACTTGCAAGTTGAAGCTGGTGGGAGTTGTGCAGATATAGGATGGTAGCTGGCTCTGAGATTTTTGCTAATTTGTTCACTATCCTTTGAAGCACAAAAGCAGGAAAGAAAACCACATGAAATATTAAATCATCCTGCATTTCCAGGAAAGTTCTGAAACAATTAAAAGCTACTACCTTAATGTATAGATGTTAGTCACTTCTCTACGAAAGCCAGAAAAACTGTAATAGGAATAATAAACTTTCTACTTACAAGTACAACAGCAGAGTTTATGTTTGGTTGTTATCTACTGAGCATTAAAATATCTATTGAGCACTTAATAAATAATGGTAAAAACACAGGCTGTTATATTTCAGGCAATAGTGATTTTATTAGGAAATTGATTTAGATATTCCTCCAGCTTTAAAGACATATGGCCATCATAGATTCAGATATGGACTGGGAATTGACAAAGAGAATTTATAGAAACATGAGGAGACAGATGGTAACAAAAGAAATGTTTCAAAAAAAACAGATTAAATATATTAAGAAAATCTAAATTCCAGACTGAAAATTGCTAACATCAAATTATTCCTTCTTTACTTTTAAAAACAGTTCTGCTTCTTGTCTGAAAACTACTTTGTTCTCTTTCAAAATTCTTCTTTCAAACTGACCTGTTTAAGTTACATTTTAAATGAGGTAGTGATAAAGTTCAGTGACTAATTTCATTTTAAAAAAGCACTGAAAAGCGTCTTTGCCACATTTCTTCCAGATATTTTACTCTTAATTTTACAAGTGTTTAATTTCAAAACATTCTAGATGGTTTATTTATAAAATGCATTTAAAACATATTAGATCAAACAAAATACTTTTCTCTCTTTGAAACAATTAAAATTTTTTAAAATAGAGTTGTACAGCTGTAAGGCAAAAGAAGAATAGCTGATGTTGGCAAGCAGCTGTTGTGCAACATGCCTGTTTCGCAAATGAATCATAATTGTGTCTCTTGAAACTTGTGCTCCCCCATCTGTCTGTTGTATCCGTTACAGAGAGGAACGTGTCTCTATGAAATTATGGACTACATTTTGTATTATATTAGAACACATGTCTAATCTTGCCCAAAGCAAACCTCTCAAATTCCTTTCCAGACAGCTGCCCTTCCTGCAAAAGATGCTTAACATCTTAGTGGAAGAGTAGCACTGAAAAGCCATTGAAACTGCAATTTGAAGCCTACTTCTTCAACTGTTAAGTCTATTTCATCTGTTTGACTAACAGATGACTAAAGTTATTCCATATCATAGCTATTAAATGCTAGGGAGGGAGTCACTTGAACTGAGGAGGCAACTTAGTATAGAAAGGGAGCCTTTGAGAAAACCAGAAGTCATAGTTAAGCCTAGTCTGTACTAAAAGAAAGGAATCACACAAGAGAGTAAGAGGATTAAAGAGGCAGAAAGGGTTTTGCCTGTTCTAGGACACATGCAAGCAGGAATTCATCTCATGGATCTTCCCAGATCCATGTCCAAGCAAGCCAGCCCCAGCTGTAATTATGTTCAACAGAGAGAAACTAGAGGCTGTTTTGAGTATGACACTAACCAACCTCCTGAGATGGCTGTTTCCTTCCACTGACCACTGCCAGTCTTCTATAGGTATGACTGGATTGGTATGACAAGGCTACAGCTTCAAGTTACAACAAATGAGGCAAAACCACTGAATTACTCAATTAGACTATTCACACCTTTGTGCTCCTGACCCCAGCATTACTCCCAATTGCATGCCACAGGCCTCTTCTCCTTGGCAGTGCCAATTGTGACTATTAATTTAATTGATCCATTTTTAAACAAACCTCTTTTCCGCTATGGATTTCTTTCTTTCTTTCTTTTTTTTTTTTTTTTTTTTTAATATTTCCTAAAGGTAGGATAATTTGCCTAATCTAACTCCAGAATAACCAACAACTTTTTGTGAAGAATGGAAAATATGTCTTCAGATCATGCCTGATAGAAGACAGAATTAAACCTGGATTAGCCAGAACAAGGACAAACACCCTATCTCCCAAGCTGACTCTGAAAAAGTCCCAATGCCACTGATTGTTCTGCTTTTTTTCTTTTTTCTTTTTTTTTTTTTTTTTTTTTTTCCCTTTTTGGGCTTTCCTCCATCGTTTGCATTTGTTTGCATTGGCAAAAATAATAAAAAAAAAAAAACAGTCAGTGAATTTTGAGTCAGTCTAAAGTCCATCTCATACTCAGTACCATGATCTTCAGGTTACAACCCAATCATCCATCCAAGACAATCCAAATTTTGGTGCTAAGGACAGAAGCATCCTATACCACCAGTCATCAAAGATATGTTCTGAGAATGGGACTGAGTACTGGTCCCATATATAAGGACAGTGACTGTGTTCCATCCAAAGCCAGCTGAGATGAGACTAGCAGTCCCACTTGCCACAAACAGGAGACCTCTTGCATCCACTTAGACTGTAAGTTCCTTAGGTCAGTAGCTGATATTGCATATGTCTAAACTGATGGTCCCTAAGCTTTCTGGATAATTCTTAGCCTATGGTGCTTCGTCAGTATGAGAACAAGGTTCAGAACACAGAACATATATTGAAGACCAGCACTGAACACAACCATGGCTTTGCTACAAGACCTGTGATAATCTGAGAACTACAGTTCTGAATCAGGTAGCATGACAAGACTGGTTCACTTAAGCACAAACCTAACCCTAAACAGCAACAAACCCACATTGTTATTATTTTATTCTTCACCATACATATGGGATTATTCAAGTGTTGATTACTGTTAGATAAAACTGTAGTGTGATAAGAAAATTGCACCATTGCAAATTTCCTGTGGAGGAAAAATTAGTTCCAGCATAAAATCAATCTCAAGTCTCAACAACTTTAGTACATATCCACAAATTTAAACATAGGTTTTGGCAAGTAAATAATCTGTCCTGATGCTCAAACTGTAAATTCAAGCTAATAGCCTTGCAACAACCTCTTATCTTTCACTGATTAACAATTTTATGTGAAACACAAGAAACCCATACATTAATTGAACCATCCCTTGTTCTTCTCTTAATTCATAAGGAAAATTGCTCCCAAAGTGCTTCCCATCCAGTATTTAACGTCTTTGACCATCTACTGCTAGCCACATAGTAACAATATACGAAAATCCCAGTTTCTTTCTCAGAATTTCAGTCCATAGAAAATGGACTATCTGTACCTGGGCAAACTTAACAGCATGAGCTCTGCATTTAAACAATCTGTCACACCTTTAAGGTTTATTTAGGGAACTTTAGTTCCAGAATATTACAGCATAATGGCTTAAATTTATAATTTACATATCTGGAGGACATCAGGTTATAGGCAAACTTCACTGAAGCACATCAAAAAGTATTTATTTACAAAACCCAGAAACTTTTTTGGGAACAGAACAGAACAGAACCTTTTTATGTGTTTAGCAGGAAAAAAACAATTAAAAATAGTTAATCAAATAAGTGTTTTTCCACTTATGGTTATGCTTTATCCATTTAATTCTTTCTGTTCACACCCCAATATTTAAAATGATTGCTTATGCAAGCACATAAGAGTGATCCCATGAAGTGTCTTACCACAATTTATCCTTCCGTGCTATTGCTTATGGATGGTCCTTACATTATATTTTGGCTCAAAGGCATACCTCACTCTTAATTTCCTCTTTTTGATAGGTTTTCTGCCCTCAGAGTAAAAGATCTCCAAGGACATCAGCTCAGAAGTAGCACAGAGGTATCTGGAATATTTGTTATGCTATGACTGCAGCTCATATGATCTCATCTGGCTTGATATGGCAGGTGGCAAAACCTGAGTTATCTGCATTTTTATCTAGACAAAAAAAGGATTGAAATTACTTTCTCTAACTAGAAGGACAGTTCCTCTTCCTGCCACTTCCTGCATATAAGGACCACAGGGCTGTATGTAGCCTTAACTGAAATGTTTATTCATTTACAAGTCAAACTGGGTCTGTGCTGAGGGCTTTGGGGAAATTTTCCACTCTGTCCAAGTACTGGTTCAGTCCTTCTAACACTAATGATAGGAGGAATATCAATGCCAACTATCTACTAATTGTTCCCATCACATCTGTTTGCCATCACAAAACTCGTAGACATTTGCCTAAGAAGGGCTCTCCAGAGGGCATCCAGTCAACTGCCAAACAGAGAGGGGGATTAAATATAGGGGCCACACACATCAGCTCACTGCCTGAGCATTTCTTCATCATCCCCCATGAAGGGGATAATACAGTTTTGTTAAGCAACCTGTTCCAGTACTTTATCTTCAAAGCAGTGAGAAAGCTTTTCCTGGCACATGGTGTTTTGGTAACAGCAGGAATTCTGGCCCAGGAGAGGTTTGGCTGACAAGGGAGCATGTGTATGGGAGTGGCCTTTAGCAGCAGGAAGTATTAGGGTTGTTGCTTTTGTAACTTGGGAAGTTGCCCTAAAATCTTTCTTGTGGGCAACACCTCAGTAGTTTAGTCAATTTTTTTTCTCTCACTGATCCTGTTTTTAAATAGTCTAAATCCTTGGGTACTGATTTTATCACACCTCACACTGCAACTTTTCCACTGTATTTCAGACGAGAGTGGGGAAAAAAAAATACATTAACTACTTTTCGTTTCATGCAATGTTGCTGTAGTCTTTCCTTCAACAGAAAATCTACCAATATACACAGAAATCAAACAAATATTGTTTTTAATAAAATAAAGCAAAAGATAGTCCAAATAAAGGACAAACACTTTTTAAAATGAATACATTAAAAAGTCCTTGATTCTGTAAGAATTATTTGTATATTTAAGTCTTTTACAATTTAGGTGACAATTTTAGCAAAATAAATTAATTAGTGGCAGCTGTGCAACTAAATCTTCTTGAGGGAACTTAAAAATTCCTTTGAATGCCTCCTACTATATCATGTCAAGGAACAAAAAAACATTTGATGAAACTACTATGTTGAGATTCAATTGCAGCAATTTTATACAGTGATGTAGGGTATCTTTAATAAATGCTGCTCTTTTGGTTGTACTCTGCAGTTCTTGGCAGATCTGAGCACAAGTGGAACTCTTAGTTTATGGTAGTCAGGTCTACTGGTCTTTTGGTTGTGCCTGGGCTCCCATCAATGTCAAATTAAGTGAATTTGGCCTACAGGCAAGAATCCGGTTGTATTTCATTAATATATATTTATATATATATCAGCAAGAGACTGTAAACATATATGTGCATGTGTGCAAATTGATTTTATTTCTAACTTTAAAAAAGCTTCTAAAACATACTCAGTTTTGACTTTCCTCTTATTTCTTATGTAATTTAATCTTGATTTCACCAATGGAAAAGAGTGAAAAATGGAGAAAAGTCACTGGTGGCCTAGAGACAGCTCTGTGGCAGGAAGGAAGAAAAAACCTCTTCTAATACCTCTGCTTTTATACCAGGATATTCCATTTAATCATAACCCTAATCACAAAGTGCACCTCAGAAGAGTATTGCAAATCAAGATTCACATATATTATACAAAGACTCAGTTTTACTAAACTGTCTATGTCTCTAATGTTTTGGCAAATTATTATAAATGGGGCTAAGTCCACCACAACTTTAGGAGGTATCCAGGCCCATACGTCACCCAAAAGACAAAGATGCCTTGTAATTTTGCAGTTCCTTCTCCTTTTATTTCAGTTCAAATGGCTCAGATTCTCCTGCTCCCTACAATCTTTTTTCCCTTCTGAAAATCTGACCTAGTGTCTGTCTCCTGGAGCCTTTCTGCCAAACATATGGTATTACCTTCCATGTGACACTGATCATCTTGCCCGAAGGGCAGTTCTTCCTACCATGTCCTCCCCTGACATTTCAGAGAGAAAATTTTTAGCTGAAACGTTTCACAGTTTTCAGACTAATTATCCATTCCCTCATGAAACAGTAAAAGACAGCATTTGTGGTGCCTAAGGAACTCTTAAATTAGGCAGGCTGATTTTGAAAATTACAGAAATTTAATGAAAAATCAGAGATCCACTAAAATTACTCCATACACATTACTGCATGACATACTTATGATTTTCAGGCATTTTAAAATCTGGTTTTAATAGGTTAGTCTTTTTTTTCTAGAGTGGAATATAATGAACACAAGCTAAGACAGATACAACAGTCTAACCAAGTCCATATCTATCATCCTATAAAGAAAAACTGATCCGTAATTCATGGAAAAAGTTACAAAACTGTGGGTTTGCTATAAAGCGCGACTGAACATCTCAACCCAATTTTGGCATCAGAGTGCAAAGAGAAAGAAAAAAAAATAAAAATAAAATAAAATAAAGTAAAATAAAAGGAAAGGATTTAGTGCAAAGAAACAGTGTTTGATTTGGATTTATTTTACTTCATAAGCAAAAGAAAAAACAATGTCTCAGGAGAGCAAAAATTAAGGCATGAAAAAGGAGGGGGAAAAAATTCACTCCTTCCTTAAACTGTACATTCCTACACAGCCATTGTATCACATAGGACTCTTCAAATGCCAACTAAACAAAAGAATAACTTGGTTTCTTAAAGCCTTGATAAAGTGTGCGCACAGAAGCCACTGACAGCAGACAAACTTTTGACTAGACCCGTTACAGTGAGCTCATGGGCACTCTGTGCCCCCTTCCCCGGGACCCTGTGACTCTGATCAAGATAACCCCTGGACCCTCTTTCCTGCCCCAATGGGGTTGGCGGAGAGCCAGAGAAGCCCATCCTGTCCAAAACCTATATAGACCCCTGAGATTTCCTGTTCGTCCTCTTTTGCCCCGCTCTCCACATGGACAACACAGAATAAAGAGAGCTGAACCAACTTATCTCGGGGTAAGAGCCTCTTTTGGAAATCTTTGCCATCTCCTGTTATTCCTCCCCTCACAGCCTCGGATCTCTGGGCTAGCCTGATTATTCAGGGGGTTGTGTGAAGGGGGGAACGTCATAGACCAGCATTTTTTTCCAGAGGAATGTCTGGTCTATATAAACATGGTAGCATCAGGGTCAAAATTGTATTTCATTTCAAGAGTTTCTAACAGAATACAAAATTACCTTCGTGGCTATGTCATCCAGGATATTTGTATTTTTCCAAAAGCATATGCAAGTTCAAATCTCTCTCTCTCTCTCACTAGAAGTTGCTACTCTAAAATATGCAGAGGAAGAAATAACAGGAAATTCATGTCAAAACAACAGAATCATTATATGCTACCATGAAAGATAAAAAGGGGATGTACTTTTATCTTTAGCAAGATCCAGAGAAGCAAAGCAAGGTACTGTCTAAAATGTATGGTTTAAAATTTGAGGAATTAGCCCAAAACAAATGCCATGGATTTGGTTCTTACATATTTCCAGCTAGGTTTAAAAAAGCCAGAATTTGAATTCCACTAACTGTCTTCTGGCAACAGCCTTAGTCCACTGACAGTGCATAGAACTGAGTGCCATTTTAGTGGAGAAGAATGAAGATGAGACAGATCTTATTACTTTGAAGGAGATATTTAGAATGGATACATGGAAAAAATTTATGTAAGAAAATAAGTAGTCAAGGATTACATAACAGAAAGTGTAGTGGGGAAAAAGAAACTTCAGGCTATACAAATACAAGGAAACAGCCTGCTATATGACTTCTACTAAGGTCAAAGAAGCAAAGCATCTTTCATGGCACAGAAGCTGTGAAAAAGTCCCCAGGAAATAAGAGATCAAAGCAAACCAGATCTCAAAAATAGGCCAGTTTTTCCCAACATTAAACTCTAGATCACCATAAGTGCTATTTCCAACATATACTGAACTTAGGAAAAATATGTTTTTCCTAATGCCACTATTTTTATCACTCCTAAAGTAATAAATACTTTGAGTAGATTGACAGATTTTCTTGGTTTTTTAGCACAAAAAAGAAGAGGCAGTCTCAATCTATTATATGAATGCTGTAATCAGATTAATAGACATAGAGGAGAAAAATCCTCTTCCCAAGGCCAGAATTAACACAACTGAGATAAGTGGGCTGCTGCAAATACCACACAAACTTCTCTGTAGACAGTTGACTGCAAAATAGAAAGAAGGTGTAGGAGGGCTGAAAGCTCAAGCCCCCAGCTTAAAACCAGAAAATACATATATTTTCCTCAATGTATATTTCTTAATTGTCAGAATAATTAACCAATAAACATATAACAGTCAATGGTCGTTATGATCTCTTATTACCAGCAATTTTTTAGATAACCCTAAATTCTTGAGGAAAAGACAGACCGTAGTTCAGCTACAATTATTGGAGACTCACAAATCCAGACCAGATATCACAGATATTCCCATCATCTATTGTGTCAGGCAACCTCAGTTTTAAAAAGAAACTAACCATAAAGCAAATCAGCAGCTATAAATGTAAAAGAAAGAGATTGAGAGCTAGATGTGCATGCAGTATATTTCTCAGATAGAAACAGCCCTGGCAGTACAGACCTCAAATTCAGCCTCTGTTTTCTAAGAGTAAGAGAAAAAGGCAACTGATATAACATGGGTAGCCCCAAGATATTGAATCATCCCAAGGTACCAGAGAATGAAAATAAACATAGGAGTTTCTCCCCTTTGTGTTTTCTGTTCTCTGTCCTTCGAATAGGGTGGTAAATTCCTTGAGTTGGCTACTTCTCGTCCTGAGTGTTTAGCGGTAGATAGGAAAGGAACTTTGTTCCAGCTCCAGCTTTGAACACAGAAAAAGAGATTGATTCAGGAAAGGGCTACTTCTGCTTTAAAGAGATTCTGTGGTGTTTCTAGCCTGGCTAGAGCTGCCACAAGGCTGACCTCTATCCCAGGACCCCCTAGTAATTTTATTTAGTGATGGTAAGACCAATTACTTGATTTATTAAGCAATCAAACCAAGCAGATATTGCCTGGTTTATCTAAATGTTAAAAATGACCACAGTAAATATGGAATTTACATGTCTCTATATACATGCAATCTCTCCAATAATCTAAACAACAAGGTACATTAATAAACCATTTTCATGTCTTTACCTAGACATTTACTGGAAGACTTGCAGAAAAAAGGTGGAAGGGAATTTACTTCCTTTCCTTTTGTGAACACAGCAAGATCACTGACTAAAAAAAAAAAAATAAAAAAAAAAAAAAAAAGAAAAAAAAGAACTGGGGCTGAAATAACATTTCTGTATTGAACTACTGCAAAACACTGAGCAGCTGTTGGCTGTTGTTGCTCAGAGATTTTCCTAGCTTGTACTCATCCACATTCTATTTAATGTGCATCAAGCAGGGAGTAAAATTTTTTGTCACAAGTCTGTCCTTGAGTAGGGCTATGAGCTTGAGCAGGCTGTGAGCTCAAAAGCTTGTCTTTTCCTTCAGCTGTATCAGCTGTTATAATAAAAGATAGCACATCTCTCTAAACACCGTAAGCTCTCCTTTCATCAATGCAGGCTGAAAGCACCATTTTCCCTCTGACAAAGGAAAATGTTGATTTCAGAAGGCTGAAAAGAAGCAAGTATTGAGCATTCAACAACATGATGAGATCTTGTAGAAAAAAAAATCTAAAAGGCAGATGTCAGTTATAGTGGAAGCCAAAGAAAAAATGAAAGCTGTAACAAATGAAACAGTGTTAAAAAAGAACCTAGGCAGACACTTGACAGCTTTGATTTTCTGATTGTGTGGTCCCAGTTTCTGTATGATTTGTGCTAGTTTCAATGTGGCCTCACATGAGTCAAGGGTAGGTGAATATTGCTGGTGGAATCTTCGTTACCTCCAAATGCAGCAGCATTTGAAGAGCTCAGTAGTCTTATTGCAGATGGAGACACCAAGTGACAAAGGCCTGTTAATCCAGCAGCAACTGGAAATACTGTGTATTAACAGCACTGTTTCAAATGCCTTGCTCAGACCTAAGCCATACACATATTAAAAGGTGTGACAAATATGATGTGTAACCGGTGTGATCCTGTGGCAGTACAAGAAGGGGCAGGGTTCACAACCAATAATGAGTGTGCCTTGCTCCCCCTTTATAATGGTATGAGGTTGACTCCTTGTAGTGGAAAACCACTCCACTACCTCCAGAGAAGTATGGGTCACAGCAGGTCACCCTGCGCAATCAGAGGAATAGGAGACAGACACCAGGATCACCCTTATAGCTGTCATCATGGGTTTTCCTTAAAGTGGGAGAAGAAAACACACCCCTTACACCCCATGAAGTTTACTAGAAAAACCACTTTAGGATATTGGCAGACTTTCTGGGGATTCCTGTGAAATACTGAGGCTGAGAAGCATTATAGTTATGGCACTGAGTAGGTAACTACCTGAATAAATGTCCTCTGTGATTACTCCTGTTTCTTGCTAATCCCATCAAATCTGGCAGGTTTGACTGTATGTTTTCTGAAAGGAGGAAGCAGTCATGCATTCGCAGTCTGATGAGAGATCATTTACAGTTTTTTCAAGTGACAGGAGATGGGAGTGGTGGGAGGAGGAAGGAGAGGGATTTACACTCTGTGAATGTTCATGAGTTTGTGTAATTATACAATTGGAGGTAGACAGGTAGACATTTTATACTAGGTCCAACCATGACCTAGTATAAAACCCAGAATTTCAAAAATAAAATAGAATTTCAAAAACAAAAAACAGAATTTCAATAACAAAATTCTACTCTAGGAGCAGCACATGTACTACCCCCCTTTACTTCAGCTGGTACTTATCTGAGTGGTTTATTCCCAATACTAACTTGGATGTAAGATCACTAAAGGGAAATAATGTGATGTGTGAACACAAGAAAGAACAGAATATGAAAGGGCACCCATAAATAATTACTTTAATTTGTAAAACATGTCTCTAACCATTACACAGCTGCCTGATGACATGGATGCCATTACAGTTAAGGATTTTCCAGTCCTTTCGTTTTAAAATTCTACATCCAGAGCTTTATAACTTGTCCATAAACTTTGACAAACCAATAACTATTAAATTGGCTATTACATAAGCCTGAACAGGAAGAGCTTTCACGTAATATTATTTAAGAAGAGACCTCCTATTTAAAGTGTAAAGGGGTACATAACATCCATCACAGACATTGTCTTAGCTGCAAAGTTACCATAAGAGGCATTGCATACTTTCCTCAAAAAGAATTGCAGAAATCATCCACTACAAGCTGTACCTTCTTATTTATAACCTACAGATGATAACCTAATGCTCAAAGTTCATGCCTTTTTCATGACCATTTTGATCTCCATGAAGAAGCCTGAGGACAAGTGTATTTCATCCTCACATAACAACATCTTATGAATTGTTTGAAAAGCACAGTAGGAAAGAAAAATATTTACACTACTTCTTGCACTGAGGTAAGTTGAAAGTAGCCCCAAAGCTAAGTTTTTTAGTGCCACAAAAGGTCTTCCTGAATAGTTTCCCCTACAAACAGCTGTATGCACTTTTTCTTTAATGTAGAGATGTATGGTATCCTTGTAGGATGAAAATAACTTTCTTTAAAAATATGCTTGAGGCAAAGTTTACCATTCCTTAGATAAATGTTTACATTAAAATTTCTAACAGACATAAAGTCAAGATGCTTTTTGATATTTGGGAAAAAAAAATTAAAAAGCAGATGCATGCCTCCACCTCATGTATGAGAGTTCCCTTGAAAAATTAGACCTTATCTTCAGAGTTCAGCAGGAAGATTGCTTGCATATGTCCAGAATAAGATTGTTTCAAAATAGCCATAAATTTTCCCCCCTGCAATCTGTA